AATGTTTCCGCAACGTATGGCATCATATTAGTGCGCAATATGTTGACATACTCCTCACCGTTCATACGCGGTGTGGTGCGTACCAACGGTCCAGGGCCGCGCGAGGTCATGCACCCCCAAAACGCTAACGTGATACGGCCACTTTGTTCGCGGAAATATACGTTATTCGCATCGTACCTCGTGCCATTTGTTCTCCACAATGTAATACGTCCAGATTCATCCATTGAGAATACTTTTTCATCAGAGAATAGTTATTTGTGTAACAAGTGTCGTAAGATGAAAATTCCCGGGTGCGGAGTTTACGCACGAGCCTTCGGCTTACACACGACTTACACTCCCTATTTTATGTGGCAAGTGCCTGGAAAGTGGTCTATCACGCACGCGTAGCGTGCGCAATGGGGCACTTTCCATGCACGTGTTGCATAAAATAGTATTCTCCCATTCATTCTCCCAAGCCAAATGTTCAAAGGCAAAAGCCATCCGTTGGTCTTGGTGATTTTCTGTTAACGCTTGTTTTTGAGCAGGGATACGATGGTGATATCCCTGTTCTCGCCATCTACGCCGAACAATTTTCGCGGAACAATTCAAATTATGTTCCACTACCGTCTGTTGTGCTGACCGGAATCCGTTCGCTTGCATCAAATTGCGGAGAAGTTCGTCGTCTTCAGCGGAAGTACATCGCGGTCGATCTGGTATCGGTCGTGGGTTCACGTGCCCTTCTACTCGCATTTGTTGCAGCACTCGATATACTGTACTCTTCTGCAATACGTTAAACGTATATTTTAATGATTAAATTAAATAATGCAATATAGACGAGTTTAATGACGTGTAACTTATCCAAATAGAGAAGTACAGAATCATAAATGCATGGATACTTTACATTTACGTGACATATTCTCGAAACCTCTGTTACCGTCAATCCTGCATTTGTATATGCAAGTATTTCACCTCTAACACGTTGCGAAGTAGGACCAGGCATTTCAATATTGTATTTATGTATACACAAATATTTAACGTTCAGTTTAATAACGCAAACACGTTTTCAACATAAACAAGTTGTCAATGAGATATCTTCAGATATATGTATCAGATATCTTCAGATATATCTCCCTACATAATAACAATTGACAACTTGTTTATGTTGACAACATGTTTGCGTTATTAAACTGAGACGAGTTAGGGCCAAAGCACATATGACAGTCGTAGTCGTGGACGTAAGTAACGCACAAGCTTTGGCGTATCCTGATCTGTTAGGTCGGGGACTACGACCGTCGTATATCGCTACGCCATTGTTATGTGCTTTGACCCTTAAAAACACGAATAATTCTGCAATGTATCAACAAATTACAATTGTTGTTTGTATATAATGTCATCGGTATTATTTATGTATTGGTGCTTAGACGATTACAATGTTTCGACCTCTGATTTCTTATTTTATTTTGCACCGTTTTAATATCGGTATTATCATGTACTTAATAATTACGATTCTCTTCTCGATTATGATCACGATCGCGATCACGATCGCGTCTCTAACGGCCCCAATCCTGTCCTTGGCGATTGTAAAGGTGGAAGCACGCATAAAATTGCAGGAGCCATGAGCAAAACGCAGAAGCCATATGCGCATGCGCTATGGTATCTGCCTGTATTCTGCCCATGGCTGTGGCTTCTGAATTTTCAATCTACATAAACTATGCTTATGTATTTTTATGTAGATTGAAAATTCAGAAGCCATGGGCAGAATACAGATACCATAGCGCATGCGCATATGAGTTCTGCATTCTGCTCATGGCTCCTGCAATTTTATGTGCTTCCACCTTAACTCTGACGATTGCGGAAATTGCCTTGGTTTCCTTTTGAGAAGAAGTTACCTGCAAATATTTATTTTTATTATGAACTAGAAGATTATTTTAACTATGCATTATATAATAAAGTATGAGATATACTTGAAAATATGTAGGTTAAAGTAAATGATAAAATCTATGGTTTTGTAAAAAAGTCACGTTTGAAAGCAGTTTCTAAAAATCAACCATATTTCATTGACATCTATTATTACAGCAAAGTAGTTCAAATGATCTTGAATAAATATTTTTAAAGTATTTTGGACGACAAAAAAAATTAAAATCATAAAATATTCAAATAACTTTATGTATGTAATCGAATATCTTAATGACTTAATTCCTCCTCTTTCCCTTTTATTCTCACTTTGCTTTGTCATATTGTACCTTTATATATATAGTATTTAGACCTTTCATTATATTAATAGTAATATATTTTATAATATAATGAAAGGTCTAAACACTATTATACAAGGGTATATGTCAGTATATGACAATGCAAAGTTACATACATAGCTATTTGAATATTTCATGATTTTAATTTTTAATCAATGTACAAATTTAATTTTTAGTCAAAGTTGGGATCGAGTCGGATCAAGTCAGGTCAGGTCTGTTTAGGTCTTGTTAAAAATAATATAAAATATAAGTACATGAAAAACAAAAACAACAATTTAAATAGAACATATTGCCTTGGAACGAATATAATTAATTTAATTTTTGCAAAAAACTGATCTATTTAATTGTTAAAATTAAATACAATTTTTTTATAGTACTCGAGTCAATAATCTTGATGATATATCAAAGTAAAGATTATCAAAAATA